CGAAATTACAAAACAAACAAACAATAACAGCTTCTTCCAGCCGATATTTTATACCTAAAACATGTAATTCTAATAGTTAATAAGCTTAATTAAGACTTTCAACAGTTAACATATTCACGTTTTTCGGTCTTCAGCCTATTTAGTCCGACGCTGAGCTATATATTTTGCTGAAGCGTCTTTTCGCGTTTATGCATATTATTATTTAGGCTTACAATTTACATTTTGTTTTTGTATTTAAGGCAAAGATGCTATATCTATCTACCGCTATACCTAATATTGAAATACTGAATCGAGGGAAGAACAACCCGGAAAGCAGCCAGTCAACAGTTCCCTACCACTCTCCCTCCCCGCATGTTACAGCATGAACTCGAACCCGGCTCGCCAGCTCCGACATCCAGAGCCGTGTACGTTCAAAACGTAATAGTACAATTCTTAACTACTCAGTGTTTTCCTATGATTTAGTTCATTTATTTCTGTGTTTGATCCATCATCACTAAATTCGAAAGGCAAAACGGACTTTATCTCTTTCCTTCTATATGACTTTTACCGTACAAGTGTTTTTGGAGCGTCATTAGAATTCTGTAACAGCACAAATTGCTCTATTCAAATTTCAATATCTGAAATAGTTTTTCTTTCAATGAGAGAAATTAATGTTAATTTCTGACCAAAGCAAGCAGTCCACCAACACTAATGAGGACAAAAAAGCAGCCCAGTAACGAATACAAGCGCGTCAGGAGGGCAAAGGCTTAGGGGGAGGGGCTCCACCTCTCCTACCCTTAGTAGTACTTTTAAAATATGCGCAAAAATATGTACTGGAAAAATTCGTACTTAGATAGCTGAATACTAATCTCTAACTTGAACTACTTTAAAACAATGACAAATGCACCTATCTTTTGTTATTCACTCAGTAATGACCTTGCTATTACTATTACATTAATTTATTTTATTACATTAATTTATTAGAATTAGAACAAGAAGGGGAATGATGTAATAGTAATGATGATAACTAACTGATGATTTTACTGCGTTGTAAAAGTAGTAATTAACAACGTTAATTTATTAGAATTAGAACAAGAAGGGGAATGATGTAATAGTAATGATGATAACTAACTGATGATTTTACTGCGTTGTAAAAGTAGTAATTAACATCGTTAATTTATCAGAATTAGAACAAGAAGGGGGATGATGTAATAGTACGTGGGGGTGTTATAAGGTGACGATCAATCCCACTATTCATTGGAGCCCAAGAGTTGGCGGTAGGTGGTGTTGAGTAACTGCATTCCCTCTAGTCTATCACTAAAATTAGGGACGGCTAGCGTAGGTAGCCCTCGAGTAGTTTTGTGCGAAATTTAATAAACTAACAAACACTCAGTAACAATTATACAAAATATATTTAAAGCTTTATTTCAATCTTTCAGCTGCGAGAATTTTTCGTTTGGCGTACACAACCTATATGTTTGTAAAGAGTAATAATAACGTACGTAATGACTTGTGTGGCATAGCGCTATAGCCATAGCATAAGTCCAATTATTTTTTTCCCACAGTAAATTATTGTTTATGTAATATCAAAAATGGTCGAATATTATTTAAAAGAAGAAACATTTATCCGTTTTCTTGTCAAAAATACAGTAGCTTCCCGAAAGTAATTATTATACAAATATTTTGATATCATATTCTTATGATAGGGTTTTGTAAAACACAACTATTAGTAAAACACACCTATTATTCTAAAACTCCTGTATATTATATTATCACACTTAATATTTTCCATACATGTGATGTAGCTATATATATGAGCTATACATACAGACTTGTATAAAATTTAGAAATTGAAATACATTTATAGTTTTTAAAAATAATATTAAAATTTTAAAAATATATATCATATTGTATTGTAAAATAATTTCTAAAACTATAAGTATTACAATTTAAAAATAAATATTTTATTTTTTTATCTACTATATTCGTAGAGGTCTTTCTTTTTGGTGGATTGAAAGTGAACCCCTCCTTAAAAAACTGGTCGTAACTTAACTAACTTAATTAATATACTTTTCTTACGTTCTTATTTACAATAATTAGAATGCATTGTTTCATCAGCTGAGCACCCTCGTTGCTGGCGATATTTTCGGACGTAATCCCAAGATTAAGCTACGAAAATTATCCCGATTTGCACGTTAAAGCCACTGATTAAACACGTAGAATGTATAAAGTATATACTAGATTTACATCCGTAGGGACCCTGAAAGTGTTCTGTTTCAAGAGTAAATAAAGCCAAAATTAAGAGAAATATTTTTTATTTTTGGCTTTTGAAGTTTATATGTCATGCTGTGTTGTTGCCTACAAAGTGCATAATTCTTCTCGTGTTTCATGACATATGCACGTTTTACTGATGCCACGACAGTATAAATTGCAACGTTAAGCGTCCCTCATGTGACGTCATTTTAGTGTCTACTGAGTGACTGACAGACAACACACTAATGTATAGTGGTGCGAGGGGTTAAAACAGGTGACCCCTCCAGGCGACCTTCAGCTCCCTTTCGGGGAAACTACTAGAAGTTGTTTGTAGAAAACGCTGACTGAACCACTTTGTTGGAAACTTTGCTTACTGTATGTAATTTCTGTTGTGTTTCGAAGGTTAATTTATTTAATACGTTTCTTAATATTCGACATGTTTTTTTAAAGCTAAGGTCGCCCCCAGTGGCACAGCGGTATGTCTGAGAACTTACAATGCTAGAAACCGGATTTCGATACCCGTGGTGGGCAGAGCACATATAGCCCTTTGTCTAGCCTTGCGCTTAACTACAAACAAACAAACAAAGTTAAAGTGTACAACTTAAAGAAGTTATGTCCTTAACTTTAAAAAACTATGTTTGAACCAAAGTTGTTTAATTTATATAGAATTTGTACAGGAATATAATATTAGTTGATCACTTAAATCATCTGTCTATCTTTTTATTTATCTATATTGATGGCTAGGTTAATTTGTAGTTTTGCTTCAAGTACACAGTTTACTCTGATCGTAAGTTCTTATTATTTTCCATTAGTTATCTTTTCCAGTTAGGTAAGATTCAACCCCCTTTCACTAAAAGTAAAATATGAAAGGATTTTCAGGGAACGCTACGAAAAATTGTTTCGATATCAAAGAAGGTAACTATTATTATGATAAATATCAGTATCACTGGTCCCACATAACAAATCAGTAAAATCCATGAAGAGAAAAACAAAGAACGGACACTATTATCTGCACTTTGACCTTAAAACTGCTGTATAGATGTAAAAAAAGTTAGCGAAACATATCCAACCATCTGAAAGTGTGTATAAAATGAACGAATTTCTTATAAACCTGCGGTTTCCCACAACATTCAAACCTGAAATAACAATAACAAACGAAGACTTACCGTCGAGGGAGGGAAGAAGTGGATGAATGACTCTCATCTCAGACTCAAGTGTAGCACAGAACGTCTCTAACCAACGGCCTTCTGTCAGCCTGGTAACGACAAACACGTAACAATGACGCACTAATCCCAATATTGAATTAAATCTGCATACACGCTTATGTCACCCCTGCAAAACTTACGGTTGCACTCAGTACAAAGATGTTTATTTCCTATAACGCATGCCACTATAACATTGCGGTAATATCTAGTTTGTGGCAGGAAAGATCTCGACTTGCATGAGAGGGGGAGAAAGGGAATGCGGTACAAAACGGACAGTTGTTAAGTTGTCATCAGTTGCCAATTTTATGTGACTCACGCCAAGATAAGTAAGTCCTTACCTCTACGATCTTGTCGATACCACGATGTGTCGTCTGTGGTAGACATTTAAAAGAACGAGTCAAAGTATTACATATTACACTGTCAATTTGTAAAATATGTTGTTAAGTCTTGAATCCACACTACAACTGCAATTTTTATTTTGATAATAAAATATAGCATGCCATTAAACTGGAAGTTCTATGGAAACATTAGAAATTCCAACATATAAACTCGATCTGACATTCTTTTAACCTGACACACCAAAGCACGACGTTTTTGGACTCTCGCCTTGTTTACTCAAGTTGTCCAATCATATGTTTTCGTTCAAGCATGCGCAATAGAGTATTTACAAGGGCTGTTGTTGATAAGATACTAGAAAACTTCACTTTTAAAAGAAAAATGAGCGTAGTAATCACGTGAAAATATAGGGATATAACACACGCTATGAAAAGAAAATACCATGTAAATTAGATTATGTTTATACTATTAATAATTTTTTCTATTGTTCCATGACTTAAGATAAGCAAGGCAATTAAATGAAATAAATATCACCTTGTATAAAATATAGGTGAGTCATTAAAACTACAAGTCGTCAATTGCAGGATGTTCTGTACGCCTCAGGGCTTTCCCTCACTGGTCACGTTCAAGAAATACAAGAGATACTATTCAACAAAGATGTATATTAATACACGTGTATTAATATGGTATATACTAATGGACACACGTGGTTAGGGAGCTCCACTCGCAGTCTGCGGGTCGCGGGTTCGAATCCCCGTCACACCAAACATGCTTGCCCTTTCAGCCGTGGGGACGTTATAATGTGACGGTCAATCCCACTATCCGTTGGTAAAAGAGTAGCCCAAGAGTTGGCGGTGGGTGGTGATGACCAGCTGCCTTCCCTCTAGTCTTACACTGCTAAATTAGGGACGGCTGGCGCAGATAGTCCTCGTGTAGTTTTGCGCAAAATTCAAAACAAACAAACTAATGGACACATATACATGGGTGCGTATCCTTCTGTAATTGAGATACAATAACACAGGATGTATATTAATGATCCTTGCTAAGGCGCGGTCAGTTCAGTTCTTTCATAGATTCTATATCTTTCATTATTCATCAAGCCGTGTGCCTTGTTAAAAAACAACAACAAACACACACAAACTCGATTTTAAAATTTGAAGGAAAGGTTATTAGAATGTAGTACTATCTTATGAAATATTGGATATATCATACGCATAATTTACATTTTTCTTTTAATGTTCTAGATTTTGGTTATTCCTTTTTTTTTTCTCAAGTTTGGTGTTACCTTAGCACAAAACTCCTTATAGTTTCACCAGAACTTACGAATTTTTGAATAAATGAAGAAAAACATGCCGGCCCACACAATTTGTTTCTGCTCACTCTTCATATTAGCAAAAATGATAATCTTTTGTTTCAACACAAAAATTCTATCTGAGTGGTTAAATATTTTTTGATTAGAAGATCATTTAATTCTGCATTTGTTATCGCTGTTTTTTATTGTAAAACGTAATACGATTTCGTTGTTCTTGTGATAGAGCTATGAATTTTAAAGCTAGCGAGAATCTGTGAAATACCACAAAATATCTATGTCTTCTTTAGTTGTGAGTGCATTATAAAAGTGACAGTTAATCATTTAGTATGGGTAGTGTAATGCTACAGACTGGCTTTGTTCTTTCTGGCCAGCGGTTGAAAATTAGGAACAGTGGCCTTTTAATAGCTTAGACATAAACACAAAAATCCAAACTATGTAATAATAACTACTTTTACTCAAAATAATAGCCATTTATTTTATCTGGCATCTTAAGAAATTTCCACGTGTATTAGTGGAGAGAGTAGTACATTAATAAATGTTCGTTTGTTTGTACGTAAAGCTGTTTATTATTATTATTATTCCTGTAAACTCCCAGTGGAGCATAGAGCCGCAACAACACCTCGCCAACGGAAGGTGTTTTTGCAGTTACTTGTAGAAGGTTGAAGTCCTCTTTTTTCATCCTGGACTTGGGAGCAGGCAAATGCGGAGGTTGGCATGTTTGGTGTGACGGGGATTCGAACCCGCGACCCTCAGATTACGAGTCGAGCGCCCTAACCACCTGACCATGCCGGCCCACGTAAAGCTGTACAATGAGCTATCTGTGCTTTGCCCATTGGGAAATCGAGTCCAGAATTTTAGCGCTACACCTGCTATTGAAATTATATAATACGTTCCGGCACTACTTTTTTTTGGGGGGGGGGGGACTGAAACACTGTATGAACTGTTTCGATGACGAGGAACCCACTTTGAGACTAATAATGGCTGGAGACGGCTTGAGTGGGTAATGAAGAAAACTTTAATATAAGTTTAACATAACAGCAAATGTACAGCGTTTCAACAAGGTTTTGTCATCATCATGAACTGTTGTTTATATTCAATTTTTGGTTGGAGTGAAGAAATGAAATCTAATATGTATTAATGTATTACAATAGCTAATTCAGATGGGGTTCAAAGGGTGCATCAAATGGTCCCTACCCTAGAGGATAGAAAGTACCAACGTAAATGTTTGGTTAGTTCTATATTTCTATGATATAGAAATTAATATAACACTTTTTATCGAATAACGCTTACTATGATTGCTCCTGGATGACTAAACTGTCCAGTTCGAAACTCCATATAAAAAGTTTGTAATCTACGCCTGTGACAAGATCAGTTTTGTATTATTTAAGTAGAAGTAATAAAGAGAGTATTTGTTTGTTGTGAAGTGCAAAGCTACAGACAGATCTAGGTGTGCTCTGTCCACCGCAAGCATCAACACTTGATTTTTAACGTTACAGGTCCCCGACTTATCGCTGAGACACTGGGTGGTTGTTATAAAGAAGAAAATATTGAATTTTTTTAAAGATAGAGTTTCATAGAATTGTGGTATTGATTTAGTGACCCTTTAAATAAGGGTTTGTACAGTTTCATAGGTAATTATTTTTGAGATGCGAAACCACGTGTATGTAGGTTCCATGTTTACGCTTAGAGCCTAAGTTCGAATTTAGGTCAAATTTTAATTTCATTATAAATCTTTCTAAAAATTTTGAATTTACTAGATAATCCTGGGTCCGCTACTGTGAGGTTTTCAAGTTTACGATTTACGAGCACGGTGTTCTAATTGAGGTGTTCAATTTTCACACGAGTCACCTGCTAAGCTAATCATATTATATTTGAAATGGAAAAAACTAGAAATAATTTTGATGTATAACAAAGTTTTATACTTTCACGTAAGAATACATTACTTAGTAGGATTACTGCCGAAAACATCGTTAACAGGGAAGGTACCTAACTGATAAAACAACGTATTCTAAACTTTATATGTGATAATGTAAGAAAAGTATATTTAATTAGCTACACTGATTGCTAGTAGATAAACTTCACTGATTGGAAGTTAATATTAGTTATAAGAACAACGTAGGGGACTGGTCATCATTTTAAGAAAAAACGTACATTAATATAATCTTAAGGTATGTGTTAATACACCAGTAATGTGTTATATGGTTTGAAATTAGTATTTTAAGATAGTTTCTAACTTCATAGCTTCATTTTTGTTTGAGTTAGAATAAAAAAGTATCAGTGGTAAAGTAAACACACTACCAATCTAATTATTGCCTGAATATAAAAAATTCATTAAATTTGTTGGCAAAAGTAACAAATACATCAACCCTCTAGCGTTTGTAAAACTTTCAAAAAGGACGTAGTATATCATAAGTATACAGTAAGCATGGTAAGCCCCGCCATCTAGTGAATGCTAATGAAACAATAGAGTTTATTTCGTTTTTTGACAATTTTGTTTAACAATTTTAAATTTCGTAACAAGAGCTAAAAACATTACATCTTTTAAAGAGAGTCGCGTTTATAAATTCACTCACATTTTACCTTTTTAAAATTGTTTTCATAATTACTCTATTGTTTGTGTTTAGTGAAATATTTTGATAAACTTGTATCAATCGTACAGTTATGATAATATTAAGACAGTTGTACTTTAGATAGCTGGAAAACTACAGAAATGTGAGTACGATTTTATAAATGCTTTCGCGAATTTCACATTGTATACGTGTCTGTTTTCTATTGGTTACCAGTTTAAAGAAATTCTGAGTTTTAGAACTAAACTTTCTTTTCAACATATTTGTGTGAGGCACATTATAAAGCGTATTTAAGAACATTTTAGCCAAATATTAGTCAAGCATTAAGTAAAATACAGGACAAACTGAAAAAATAAATAATACATTGACTGTAAAGGAACTAAGAGAATGACAGCTAGATAGCGTGTAGAATTATACACGGACTTTCTTTTCTTCGTTGAAATAGTTTTACTTGTGAGCTTTCTGTCTCCTTACCGTAGCCTTCATCGTGCAACAATGTACTGAGTGATACAAATTCGTTTATCTGTGGAGCACTGTTTAAAATAGGTATATAGGCAACAGTCGTAACAATAACTGATACCTGGTATTAATTATAGAAATTATGATGAATATAGACGATAAATCGATTATTTCAGTATAATAAACATTATAGGTATTACATAGAAACCAAAACAAATAATATATTTTATGTCTTTGATAAGTGATGTCCATGCAGTATTGAGTAGCTATTGGCCGTTATTTTGATTAGTACACACTGTTGGATCTTGTGCTTGGATGACAATAGCTTAATTGATCTTTCTCCGTTTGGTGTTTTCTTCTTGTCTATTATATTTGCCTTTTTTAGGCCTGTTATGTAGTTGTTTTCCTGAACGTAAAAAGCTATAGCTGATGTGTTTATAACACAGTTCTTAATATATCTTTGGTGTTCTTTGAACCTTACCTGTAATGGGCGTTGTGTTTGCCCAATGTATTGTTTATTAGACTCACACCAATTGTTATAAACCACGTTATTTGTGAGAGGATTGGTAAATGGGGATTTTACCTTCGTAAGATTGTCGTGTAGTGTAGGATCGTTTGTTTATAGTTAAGCACAAAGCTCCACAATTGGTTATGTGTGCTCTGCCCACCATGGTTATCAAACTTGGTTACTAGTGGTGTAAGTCCGCAGATACACCGCTGTGCCACTGGGGGGCGTAGTGTAGGAGGACTTAAGAAACTACGGTGATGTTAAGTTTATTCATTATCCTACGAAGTTTTTATCCTAGGCCTGGTATGTAAGGAAGAAATGCTGTTTTCCTTTCGTTGTGATTTTCAGGTTGTGGTTCATTAGTAGTTGAGACAGATGAACCATATAACATACGGTGAATTGTTTTATTTGGATAATCGTTATTCCTGAAAACCTTCTCAAGATGTTTAAGTTCTTCATCTGGGTAAAACGAGGAGCATATACTTGTAGATCTAGATTTCGTGTTTTAACAATCTCAGTTTTGATAGCATGGTATGAACGAAAATTCAGATAGTTATTACTTTGAATCTTCTTCCAATAAACGGTAGTGATCAACTTTTCTAAACTCGTGCCCTTGTGAACCAGAACATCGAGGAATGGAAGGGTGTTGTCGACTTCAAGTTCTATGAAAAATTGTATGCTGTCAAACTGGCTGTTCAGATGAGCATGAAAGGGTTTGAGTTCTTCCTCTTCATGGGTCCATAAAATAAGCGTATCTTCAACATATCTTACCCATATACAAGGTTGATGAAGATACGGGGTTAAAATGGTGTGTTCAAAATGCCGCATTTCTGCTACTACAGGTGATAAATGTGAGCTCATTGGAGTACCGTCTAACATACTGTAAAATCGGCCATTCCAATAGCCAGTGTTTTAGTTACTCACTGTAAGTTGAGTGAAAAGAAAATAGATGGTTGTTGGTTGATGTTAAGCACAAAGCTATACAATGGGCTATCTATGCTTTGTGTGCCAGTCACGGGTATAGAAACCCGATTTTAGCGATATAAGCCTTCAGACTTACCGTTGAAAGGAGGTAGAGAATGAGAGTGTAACTGTTAGGCAATTAGTTAGTCATTGTAAGTTGAGTGAAAGGAGGATGGAGAACGGGAGTGTAACTGTTATGTAATTAGTTAGTCATTGTAAGCTAAGTGAAAGGGGGATGGAGAACGGGAGTGTAACTGTTAGGTAATTAGTTAGTCATTGTAAGCTAAGTGAAAGGGGGATGGA